AATATAAAAGCAACAGAACGCGCAAATAAATAAAAAAAGAAGTGCTGCATTCAAGTGTGTGCATGTTTGTGTTACACACAACATCTAAAAGGCTGAACCGATTTTGATTTATGATGAGTTCTTGCTATTGACGTCACAAATCGCTTTGGTTAGAATCGCAGTAATTAATGAACGTTACAAAAGCGGGCAACAAAACTGGAACTTTAAAAATATTGGGTTAAAAAAAACTAAAATGGAAGAATAAAACTAATTTTATTCCTAAAAGTTGACATGAGTAGCCATTCTATTAAATTCAACTAAAATGTTGTCGCTACAAAGAATCATTGACACGTATGACGTCATTGATCACAATTCTCAGTTACCTATTTGTTTTGTAATTTAAAATGAAAATGTATTAGATCAACTTAAAAGTTGACTTAGTAATCCTATGACGTCATCGCATGTGTCGGTCTGTTTATGTACAGTTTTCCTTATAATAAACATGTTGTGTGGGTTATCGAGTCACCTCGACTATCTCTGTAGACTCATGATTATCGCAATCCAAGATGGCGCTTAAACAAATGTCAGTTTTGACATAATTTTCGCGCGCTGCGTCTTTGTTGTTGAATTTTCTTCCTATTTTTTCATTCATATTGATTTGTGAAATACTATTTTAACGGGTAATATTAAAATTTATTATTACAATTTGTATGCAATAAATCTTGTTAGTATTCTTCCTATTTTAACGAAGGGGAAATTTGACTGCTTTTCTATAGAATATGGGTGGGTCTACTAAGCATACAGGTATACCTATACCTACAGATTAAATAGTATTTATTTTCACACCCAAAATATATAGGTACTAATCTAAATAAATATGCTGAACTGGTCCCATTTCATCGCGGACTTGGGACATTTTATTTATGTATTTATAAACTTCTGTGTAAAATCTGTAGGTGTCATCTGTAGGTGTGTTTTAGCGTGTGGAATAAAGATTTTTTCTTTCTCTCTAATCCTAAATGCCTTCATATGGGTATAGCGGGCATTTCAATATTTGATAACAACTGACCAATTAAGAAAGCAAGTTAAGATAGTAGTCGCGGAGAACCTAACGGGTACCGAGGCTCCGGCTCGACGTGCAGGAGAAGGAACGGGGTGGTTTTTAGTCAGTAATAGTCTGACACTCCCTCCCACCTCACCCAGGCGGGAGCAGTCATTCGATGATTTTCCCCCTTAAAAAAAGTTAAGGTAGTAGCGACCTCTACGCAGTATAGTATAATAGTATCCGTTTCTAAACAAAAACAGTTGTTTTTGTTTGCGTAAAACTTTTATAAACTTGACATTCTCGGTACAAGCTGATAGTTTACGTTATGTATATGTTTTATCAGCTTTATCAACAATATATCTACGGCTAACAGATAAATTATTGTTATCAATATAAATTTTGCTGATTGCGATCGTCTTCCAAGTGATTAGAGTTTATAATCTAATTACCTACTAACTGGGTTGTTACGTCATTAGTTTTTCAAGAACTTTACGACCTTTTCCCTATTGGTAGACAGTATGGACCATTGACAAAATAGCCAATTCCTCATTTCTATGCTTTAATTTACTTACATTCTCAAAATACAATGGTTGGTTAATTAAATTTAAATTAATCGTTTTTATGACACTTACAAATTCAATGTCTAGGTAATTGTATAATTTTATTGGTCAACACAAATTTTTATTTTAAGTGTTCATGAAACCGTCTGTCAATGGTCAAATTTCATTGTCTAACAGTAATACACTACAATAATAGTAAGTCATAACCGCATTCCTCGGAATGTCAATATTTTAAATGTAGCCTACTGTCATCTGCACTTCTTTACCGACTTAGGATGTTACTAAGTTCTTGCTTACATCCGTCATCGCCGAATATAAAAATAAGGATGTCGACTAAGTCAAAAATAAACGGTTAGTTTGCACTTCCAAATAAAGGTATTCAGTTTCTTAAAACAATAATATTCCAGTTTAACTGATTTACTTAAAGCTTAGTTGTAATATTATTTTAGCTCATTTCAGAAAAAAGGTATGATTTGTACCATCGTTTATGATATTTTTTCTTTTGTTGCCCACACTAGGACTATCTCCTGTGTCGTGGGTGCGTTTACAAACATACAAGTTCACATACACATTACACCCAGACCCGAAACAACAATCTGTGGATCACACAAACTGTTCCGTGCCGGAATCGAACCCGTCACACGTTGCACGGCAGCCGGTTGCCCAGCCACCACACCAACCGTGCAGTCATTTGGAAAAAAGTCTAAAAATATCTACAATTATCCTGCTAAGTATTCATTAACATTGTTCGTTTCAAAAATAAATATTTAATTCTCACGTTCTTAGGTTTTTCAAGAACTTTGTATTAATGATCTGCTGTATTTTTTTTTATCTTGAAACAGTAGGTGTAGTATTTTGTAAACTATAGCTATTCGTTTCAGTGATATTAATTTTCAATTACCTTTTGGTAGAAGGTAAGTATTTAGTTCTTGTAATCACATAATATTTAACCACACTTTTGGGTGTTACCCCACCGATTTTGGTACCATAAGTTCAGAAATAAAATGTCCAAAGTAATTTGTAACTTAAACGATGACTTTTAATACACTTTTCTCCTATATTACATTCGTTTTGTACAAAAACAACGTATCGATGAAGTATACAACGTATTTATATTTTTTAATTCGACCTCATACGGACGCGTCACTTAAACAATTAAACACTAATAATAATATCAAAAATTACGTATAAACGAGATCTTTATACATTGGGAGACTAAATTGAAGCGATTCCAAGAATTGCGTCGAAGGAATCCTCACAATGAGGCACACATAAAAAATATTATACAAAATGGAGGCTGTATTGATCGGAAGCCATCGTTGATATTTATCCTAAAATTGGGACATATTTCAATAGAAAATATTCGTTCATGGAAGCCTAAACGTGTAAGTTATTGTTCGGACGATCTGTGGCCGAGACAAGGTGTAAGACTACGTTGAACTGTGACATATTCAATGTACACACGGCTACACATCGAGCTTTACATAACCAGTATAAACTGAACGCTAAATGTGCGGAAAGATGATGCGACGCGACACCAGGATAAACTGGTTTTGTATAGATTGATGTGTGGCCGTGTATACAGTCACCAAGTTATTTGGTATGCAGTTAAAATAATAAACATTCAGTACAGAGACAGAAACTATTGGTTGACTACTAAACCAGCCAATTGATAGACGAGATATTGCTTCGTTAAAAAACATAATATTTAATACGACAAAAGCTACTGTCTCTGTACAAAACAATCATTTCTTACCTACATACGAAATAACTTGGCTCATTGTACCAAACATATATAAATTGATCGCACATTTACGTATAAGTTCCGTAATTCATTGGAATGATAAGATAAAAACATCTTATTTTTAGTTATTATTGTGTCAATTTCAACATTAAGTATCTAAAATGGACTCTTGGAACATTCAGCGCCTGTATCACCACCTCTATATAAGTACACGATAAACTTATGTGGCAGATAGTCCATACAAATTACGTTCTTAATTCAAAACCTGGTAGCACAGCGACTTTCCAGACGTAGTGATACAGGCCCTTGGAAATATATTGCAATCTGCACTTGGGAGCAAACAAACGGAGCCAGTAGCGTAGTTTTTCCTTTTATCGAACGCTCATAAATTTTAAAAAATATTATAAAATGCTCCCATTTTAAAGGTAACTAAATGGCCTCCTATACGACGTACGTTACCAATTAATAATAAAATACTTGTATCGGAAAATATCTACATATCTACCAAGAAATGAAAAAGAAACCCTGCTAGTGATTTCGATTCTTTGCTCCCAAGTTTATATTCTAGATTGTCTTCAGCTATAGTTTTGAGAAAGGAAGTAAATATAATATATTGTCAGCTGATTTCATTATCCGTTCAAAGTTTTTCTATAATACTTAACTCGGCCACATGATAAATGGTTCGTATACATCACTGTCATCTGTGTGTTACGTCACACACAAATGTATTAACATTACTTCGGTTCAATCTCTGAACACTTCACACAAACAATTACTTCATTCATTTCTAACAGATTTTTGTTTATAACTATTCATTCCTTGTTCCTTTACTTGAGAAACAAGGATCTCATTGATTTCTGTCTTAGTTTAAACATGATTGTTTCTTTATTACGTTACTTCTACGCCTAGTCCAGCATTTCGCAACTAATTTTCAATCAAATCTGCGGATGACTTCATATTGAGCATCAAAATATATCAAAAATGAACTTTAGGCCGCTAATCGAAGCAAACATTGTGAGTTTTCAAACAAAACTCACACCTAAATGCACTTTGGAAGATTTCTTTTCATTACAACACAATTTACATCTCCCAAACCATGCTTCCATCACAAAATTAAATATAAAAACCTAACATGTAACAATTTGGATAGCTCCTAAGTTCACGTACAAGATCGAATTAAAAACATTAATAAATTTGAAGAATGGCTAAATACCTACCTAACTAATGGAGCAAATTATTTTAATAAACCAGACCTTTTTAAACATTGTACAACTTTAGATATTAACAAAGTTGAAGATGTAACAGAACCAAGTAATAACAAAGTATAGTTGAGACAAAACAGAAGTAAAACAGAGAACATTCAAAAAGGCCTGGCTCAACATTGCGACTAGGTATTGGGGCAACTTTCTTCGAGAAACTTAAACGAAAACTTGTCTTTCAATGAACACAGATGAAGTTGACACAACAAACAACAAACTGATCAGAAAACAGAAACATGTAAACAGAAAGCCGCCCCCATATCCTAAATAATAATTCGATAGTTAATATCTTAAAATTGGTTAATTCTTTTATTCACTGTCCAGAGTATACCTACAACCTTGGCGCTCCTTCACTTCAACATGGCCGTCGCACTCACACACGCGCGCACAGACACTACCTAGTGTGTGTGTGGTCACCGCACATGCCACAGTCCGAGGTTAAGTATACTAAGCCGAGGCAACTTCACGATGTGGTCCAAGCCTTGCGGAGTGATACACGTACACCCGTACAAGTCTATCGCTCTCAGGTTGAGGAGGCCGTCGCCGAGCGCGCGCAGCCCTCTATCAGTGACCTTCGTGCACTGGCCTAAATTTAGCGTTTCTAGCTGTGATAGCCTGGCGACCCGCTCCAGGCCCTCGTCTGTCAGGCGGCAAGCACTCAGGGACAGCGACCGAAGCCCCGACAGCCCCAGCGTCGCGTGCGACAGCGCCTCATCCCCGACCTTATCACAGAACGATACGTCCAGCGACCGCAGCCGACCGCTCTCCGCCAGGTGCGCTAGCCCCGCGTCCGATATCCCGTCGCAGGCTCGTAGGTTTACATCCTCGAGATAGGGTAGTCGCGCTAGATGCCTCAAGCCCGCATCTGTCACGGCGACACAGAAGGAAAGGTTTATGGATTTGAGTTTAGGAAGACCTGTAGCTGCGTGCTTCAACGCTTCATCTGTCAACCTTTGGCAGTCTTGTAGTCCCAAGTACTCGAGCTCTGGAGTGCCTCGCGCCTCCCCGCCTCCGCACAGATGTGCTATCCCTGCGTCGTTTACGTGCCAACATGATCGCAAGTTCAAGTGCCGCAGTTTCCTGAGGCCCCAAGCGATAAGCAGGAGTCCCGTATCTGTAATGTTGCAGCAGCCGCCCAGTTCTAACTCTTCCAAGTTTTTCAGCGACTGTGCTATTCTTCCGAGAGATGAGTCGGTCACTTGCTTGCACAGAGACAGGTCTAGTCTCCGTAGTGCTGGTAGTTCCGCTGCGAACGCGCTTGCTAGGGCTGCATCGGTAACGCTGTAGCACCCACTGAGTGATAGCGACTCGAGGCCTGGCAGCGCCGCCACTGCATCCCGTAAGCCGCGCCGCAGCGACAGCACCTGCAGCTTGCGTACGCCCCGCCTGGCCAGCGACGCGAACAGCACGGGCGCCGGCCTGCGGAGGTGCAGCGCGGCCTCTACTCCGCGCCACACGGACCGTCGATCAGCTGCGTCCCTCCAAGCGCGGCAAACTTGTGCCGCGCGGCCTCTGTCTCGCACGGGCAACCTTTCGAATATGAGAGCTAACAGTTCCGGGTACAACCTTGAGATGTGTGTTCCCTGAGGCTCCGGCGGTGGCTCGGGCACGTGAGGCACGGGCAAGTGTGGCCGATGTAGTCTGTAAGGCGCACTGCGTAGTTTTCTTCTGTTAGTAGTAGGCTCCCTCAGTTCGGTAAGTCCAAGCCTATCGTCCCGCCAGGACATCACGTCCTCCGTCCACGTACTCATAGCGGCGTCACTGCACACTATAACATGTCACGATGCATCGGACCGGTTTTCGGTGAAACTCGTATAGTGGGGAGCGCGCGCGGCGTGCGTCCGTCTCGCGCGGTGCTCCTCGTGTACTGGCGGTCGGCGGTGAGTGCCGCCCCCCGCAGCGCCCCCCCGCGGCACCCCGCGGCCGCCCGAGCGCGGCTATTGGTCGCGGTCGCCGGCACGTGACGCGCGTCGTATCGATTCGGAGGCTCTGCGGCGGCATTTTTAAGTTGCCGGCCCGAGAGCCCGCCTTCGCCCCGCGCGGCCCCCGACGCCCGCGCTATAGAATATGCAGTCGTGCAGACACTTCATGCGACTGTTTTATACCTACTTTTCATTGACTTTTTAGTTCGGCTCTACATTACATTATACACATTATTGTAGTAATTTCTATACTTACTAACGAATCTCGTCATGTAATTTAAACATCGATTAAATGTCTAACTCAATTATAATAACATAGTAAACTAATTTAGTTGTAATTTATTCATTTGCTTCTATTTGTTCATATTAACAGTATTTGACTAGATTCAATATATTCCAGTGTAACATCCATACATTTATTATTCGACATAATGACTGAGAACTAATCTGTATTTTATTCTGTGAGGCTTGTCAATTATAGGCAGAATTGATTAGTTACTCAACGGGCACAATCTATGGAAGCAGTGATAAGGCGGCAAAACAACTCGGCGCGACGTATATTTTCGTTCGCGGTGCACTTGCCGACGACTTGCGACCATTTTAAGCAGATCCCTGTCAACTGGCGCGACGTTCCTTATCCCTTACTGTTAAGAAGTCCCCCATGTTGTGACACAGGCCAGGAAAAAATGGTTTTTTGATAACACCAGCCAACTATTACAAGGGCGACCGGTTGCGAGCGTTCCAAATATGAATTTCGAATTGAAACGTGTTCCAGAATGGAACGCGAGCGAGTTGGCGAGCGGGGCCGAGCCGTTTAGAAAATTAACGGGCCTTCGAGCTCCTAGCTTCAATTAGGACTTACAACTTTGTATTTTCTGTCCTTTAGCATGACGATTATTTAGAATTTATAAACTCTGAGTTACCCATCTCTGTCTACAAATAAAAATATTCTATTGCACTTTCAACTGTAATGGTTGCAATTCCAGCAACAAACTTGTTAATTGCACAAAATGTAGTTTAATATTTTACCCGTTATATTGCAATCAGATCAATTTCGAAGTGGATCGTGAGAAAAGGTTCTCAGTTCAAGAGATTGGTTTACTTTTAACCGGAAATTTTGTGGCCACTGTCCCTTAGATATAACTGTAATAATAATTCATGTTGTAATGATCCAAGGTTATTAATTACATTGATACGAAAATGATTTAAAAGAAAGCTATTTTTAAGGTTCCCACAATAGATGCCTAATTTTTATTTTAATGTCCGTCTGATAGATATTTTAAATCAATAGACACGTATTTTTTATTTTCTTACAGAAACAAGTTTCGACGATATATTGATTTGAAATGTCGCGTGACGTCACTTCTATGTACATTTAATACTAAGAAATGACGTTTTAGCCCCCACTCCTAAACTTAGATTCGTTTTATCCAAGTATTGTTTTATTATACGGAATAATAAAAAATACGTGTCAAATATTTTTTAATTACCTACCTAACTTACGGACTAATTAGATTTTTTATTTTCATACCCTGTCATCATCCCTATTCATCGTCGTTGCCATAACATTGGTCTGCAAAGTCAGAGTTTATTTTTGTCACAAAAATATTCTTCTCATGCGGTTATGGCAAAATAGTCATTTAACCGCCTAATAAAATTAGATTTTGAGTAATTGAACTTTGAGTATGTTTTTTATGCAAATAGATCTATGTATCCAGAAATTTTGAATTATTAATTTAGGCTGTATGGGACTGCAACGATATATCTTTCACTGAGATGAGACAGATATGTTTTCTTCCAATTGACCGTCTTTAGGTGACGAGAAAGTTAATTTACCCATTGGACCAATTTTAAACTTTCACAAATTTTAAACTAACCTAAACCGCATTTTTTTTAAATAGTAACCTATACTGCATTTATTCCCATAGGATCCGGACTATCCGGACTTAGGCCTACTGTACTGTCCACGTTGCGTCAATTCAAGAATGCATCATCATCAACAGCCTATAAATGCCCACTGCTGAGCAAAGCCTCTTCTCACACGGAGAAGGTTAGAGCATTAATCACCACGCTTGCTCAATGCGGGTTGGCGATTTCAAACTTATAATTAGAAATTATAAGTCCAGGTTTCCTCACGATGTTTTTCCTTCACCGTTTGTCAGTGGTGTCTAAATAATATTAGAAAGTACATATAACTCGGAAAAAGTCACATTGGTACTTGCCGTTGGTAGGTTTCGAACCCGCACCCTCATGCATGAGAAGTGGGCGTCTTAAACCTCCGGGCCACCACGACATTCAAGAATGCATGCATTCGCCATATGGATAGTTTTTTTTTTTATGGGGGGAAAATCATCGAATGACTGCTCCCGCCTGGGTGAGGCGGGAGGGAGTGTCAGACTCTTACTGACTAAAAACGACCCCATTCCTTCTCCTGCACGTCGAGCCGGAACCCCGGTAACCCGTTAGGTTCTCCGCGACAACAATATGGATAGTAAGTAGGCCTTATTCAACCGAAAATTTTATAAATTGCAGTAGTTAGCTTAGACGTGCACCAATCCTAAATGGGATTATCCTTTGAAAAAAATTGGTTTTTCAAAAGCAAAAAAAGTCAACGTCACGTGGTGTTCCCAGGCGGTCACCCATCCAAGTACTGACCACGCCCGATGTTGCTTAACTTCGGTGATCGGACGAGAACCGGTGTTTTCAACATGGTATGGACGTTGACAATTTGCGGGCAAAAACATATGTTCTTTATCATACTTTACAATAAATTGTTTTTAACAATAGAAGCAAGTCTAATCGCACCAAGTTGGGGACCTTTTTATCATCAAACCTTGGAGTCCGTAGAAATTATTGTACCTACTTACTGTGACTTATACACAATAATAAGTACATTATTAACGTTCCTGCATATACCTATGTACTATAATAATAAATAATAAAATTTATTTTCAAACATAATAGTCTAGAAATATACAGTTTTGCATAAAGCTATATAAAGTTCACAATATAAGGTGACTGAACTAGAAAATCCTGCGTTTCACGCGAGGTTAGGTAACAGTAATAAACATTGTTATATAATCATAAGTAAGTACTTAAATGCTAATAAGTTAAGGTAAATTACGACAATATTTAGTTATATATAGGAATATTGATATAAAGTAATACTTACATTCATTACTTCGTATGTATATAAGAGTATGTATGTAGTATATAAATACGAGGTTAAGAGCTTACTTTAAGTATTATTTAGGAATTAATAATAACTTCTCTGTGTCTTCATAGGACATGTCTTGAAGGGCTTCCTTTAGAATTTTCTTACAGTTACGTCTATGGGGGTAAATTCATAACGCATTTAGTCTATTGTATAGGAGTGGTCCAAGAAATAAATAATAAAATACTAAATAGGTGTCTAGAACTTGAAGGAGAATACCTCCCTTCCCATACTTACAGCCTGGGAAGATTAAACAAACTGTTACCTACAATAAATCATGTAAAAATCTCTCGCAGTTGCATTGCAAATTTTAAAGTTTTTTTCTTTACGAACAGGATGTTTGAAACAATTTTTTGCGATCACTTTTTACCACCTACCTGAGTACCTGTGAACTTTGCCTTAAAGATCCAATTTTTTTTAAATAAAGCGCTCGCAAAGTTATTATCGCATGAAATCTGAATATCGACAAATTATAGGTTTTACATTTTTAATCTTAGCGGGAAGTTAATACGGGTCAAATTTAGTAGTGTGTTGTGATTTGGTATGAAATTGTTAGCTCAATTTATTAGGTAATGTTAGGTATTAAAGTGAGTGTGGTAATTATTGGCTTATGAAGTGTTATATGATTGTATTTTGACCGGATTGTATTTCGGTCTCATGATAGACAAAACAGTAATTTTCAAAACTGTTTTATTTTTATTTTGAAATTATTTCAAAAAATATAAAATATAATAAAAAGTCTACTCTACGCTTACAGCAGACCTATCTATTATATTGAATTAGTTTCTAACTATTAATTTAGAAACTTATTAGTTTTTACTTCAAATTATGGGGTATCAACGCCATCTATTGATGAGTAGCGATAATATAATTTGCTGTAATTGTTACGACATCTATTGTCGAATAGCAAGCAACTAAACTTAAATGGGATGTCATACAGTTCCAATTCAATAAAATAGATGGCGTTAGTCGTACTTCGTATGGTATGTTTTATGATCAATAGATGGCGCTGAACTGAGATATATTCTTGAAACTAAATAACTTCAACGCGGCCAAGTGCAATTGCAATGAATCATTTTTTCTTAAATTAATAACTTAGATTTTTTTAAAGTGTGGTCGCAAGTGCGACTGCCTGGCAAGGGGTCTCGGGTTCGATTCCCGGGTCGGGCAAAGCATTACTGGGTTTTTTAAAAATTCTCAGTAGTAGCATGGAGTCTGGAATTGTGCCCGGTATATGGCAATAGGGTCACCCCCTATTACATGGGGCTCATAGCATAAATAGTGAAAAGTGGGTGTTACATTGTACAGTGGCATGTACACCTCTGCCTACCTCTTCGGGGATAAAAGGCGTCATGTTATTTTTTTAAACGATATCACCCGTAGGCTTATTTACTCTACACGTGGCCACAGGGCTGGCTATTTCTTCGGACAGAAAATACTGCTAGTCTTCTGGGAACGTTCCCCGGTGATAGTGATGCGGACGAATACTTTGACGCCTAAATTAAGGGTATATTATTTTTGTTGTTTCCTTTTTTTTTACTTTCGTTCTATTTAATAGTTTAGTTGTAGTTAATTTTAAGTTGTAAATATTTATGTCGTTTCATATATTTAAAAT